ACCCAAACCCAAACAACACACCAAACACCACACACAACGCAATATACAATACAATACACAACACAATACACTACACACCACACACCACATACCACACCACCCAAACCACACATCACACACACAGCACACAACACACAACACAATATACAACACAATACAACACACACCACACACCACACAACGCAACACTTCACACAATATACAACACAAGACACCACACACCACACACCACACACCACACACAACACACACCACTTAACACACACCACACACCACACACAATACACAACACACACAACACGCTAAACAACACACCACAAACAAACAACACATAACACAAACACACTCGCTCGCGCATAATATATATATATATATATATATATACATATATATATATATATATATACAAACACGCCCATACCAGAGGATGTACCATCACGAGTTGCTCTGAATCCATGATTGCTTTGTCAATTACCACAGTGAGCTTTTCATCCGCAAACATCGCCGCAAGTGGTGTCGCACAGCCCGGATGCACCTGAATATAAAATATTGAGACACTCAGTACCGGACAACCCAAATGCACCTGAATGTAAATCATTAGGACACTTCGTACGGGTGTGAATAGGATGTGTGTTGTACTATCATTCATACAATTACCTTATACTCTGTGGCACGCGCCAATGCGATGTGTTCAGTGCCCCTTTCTCTCAACTGGCAACCCTAGACGCACACATCCACGTGCATAGAAATGCATATGCGATGATCAACCACGACTATAACTGAAGGTTTCACATACACTTTAAGCGTAGGGCTGCAATTGTCTCAACCGTCTCTACCTTTGATGTTGATACATAACCTCTTTAGTCCAACATAGGGCTGGATTTGTCCCATTCATCCTTACCTTTAATGTTGGATACATAACCTCGTCACTATAACATAGGGCTGGATTTGTCCCATTTATCCTTACCTTTAATGTTGGATACATAACCTCGTCACTATAACATAGGACTGGATTTGTCCCATTCATCCTTGCCATTAATGTTGGATACATAACCTCGTCACTATAACATAGGGCTGGATGTGTCCCATTCATCCTTACCTTTAATGTTGGATACATAACCTTGTCACTATAACATAGGGCTCGATTTGTCCCATTCATCCTTACCTTTAATGTTGGATACATAGTCTCCTCGGGTGCGAAGCGTATCATATTGGCACGACTGTATTTCATAATGTCACGCTGGAATGACATGAGCGACACTTTGCGCTCAGCCGGCGTACAGATCTGTACATGACATCATAGTAGCAGATGTAAGAAATGAACTATAAACGAGTATGTGACAATATACAATGTTCGCTCAGCCGGCGTACAGATCTGTACATGATATCATAGCGGCAGATGTAAGAAATGGACTATAAACGAGTATGCGACAATACACCAGCAACTGTCAATGACCTACCAGGAACAACTGCTGGTTCTTCTTGGCTCTCACAAAGAGATTAACCAATGGGACGCCCTTGATATCCCAATTTGCCAACTCGGCCTCGTGCACAGTGCACGTGGGTGCTGCCTTGTGTGTGTGTACACGCAATTCAATCCCTAGAGTACGTAACCTGTCGTCCAACTGTGCGCGCTGAGGTAGGTATAAGGTGAAGTAGATATAAGATGAGGTAGGTATACGATGAAGTAGGTATAAGATGAGGTAGATATACGATAGGATAGATATAAGGTGAGGTAGGTATAAGATGAGGAAGGTATAAGATGAGGTAGGTATAAGATGAGGTAGGTATAAGATGAGGCAGGTATAAAGCGAGGTGGGATATACTTTAGATAGGGTTTCAAAAAAGATGACTGGGATGACAATTAGTGTAGTTCTGCTGTGGACGGATGGATGCACTTTGATCTCAGTTGCTTTAAAAAAAGTTGCGCCTAGTACACTGTCCGTGCACTGCAAACGCACCCAATGCACTGTCTGTGAAATTATGTGGCCCCTCATTCATGGTATAATAACATAACTTACTGCCACCCAGGCATAGGTAGATATAACCCATTCACTATCAACATATTAATAATAACATAACATAATGACAATAAGATACAGGTAGATATATCCCATTCACTATCAGCATAATAACAACACAACCAAAAATCAGGCACAAGTAGGTATAACCCTGTCACCATCAACATATTTATAGCATAATATAATGACAATCAGATACAGGTATATATAAACCATTCACTAATATAATAATAACAACATTACATACTGACAACCAAAAATCAGGCACAAGTAGGTATAGCCCTGTCACCATCAACATATTAATAAAATAACATATTGCCAATCAGACACAGGTAGATATAAACCATTCACTATCAGCATAATAACAACATACCATATTGACAACCAAAAATCAGGCGCAGGTAGATATAACCCTGTCACCATAAACATATCAAAAACATAAAATAATGACAATCAGATACAGGTAAATAAAAACCATTCACTATTATCATATTAACAACATTACATATGGCCATTCAGACACCGGTAGATATATCATATTCACTAACAACATATTAACAACAAAACATATTGCCAACCAGGCACAGGAAGGTATAACACTACACTATCAACATATAAACTACACAACATGTTGACAAAAAAAAACAGGCATAAGTAGATATAACCCTGTCATCATCAACATATTAATAACATGACATATCGACCATCAGGCACAGGTAAATATATATTTTTTCACTGATCAACATATAAACAACATAACATATTTACAATCAGGCAAAGATAGATATAAGCCGTTCACTATCAACATGTTAACAACATAATATATTGCAAATCAGGCACATGTAGATATAACCGTCATAATCAACATATTAACAACATAACATATTTACAATCAGGCACAGATAGATATAAGCCATTCACTATCAACATGTTAACAACATATTATATTGCAAATCAGGCACAGGTAGACATAGCCCTATCACCATCAAAATATTAATAATAAAATATATTGCCAATCAGACACAAGTAGATATAAATCATTCACTATCTACATATTAAAAACATAACATATTGCCAATCAGGCACAGGTAGATATAACATTTTCACTATCAACATATAAACAACATAACATATTGACCAAAACATATTGACAACCAAAATCAGGCACGGGTAGATATATCATATTTACTATCAACATATAAACAACATAACATATTGACGATCAAAAACCAGGCATAGGTAGATATAACCATGTCACCATCAACCAACATAACATATTGCCAATCAGGCATAGGTAGATATAGCAATGTCACAGTTGACACACTACAAACATAACATATTGCCAATCAGACACAGGTAGATATAACATGTTGCTAATCTTTGCCGTATCGTATTTGATGTTTGCCAATTGCCCCGTGGAACACAACACAGTGACCGATCCAGCTACTACACTGTTAGTACTTGCCAGCACCGATTGAGCCTGGTATAATATAGTTATTCTCGTTACGCACATTCTTTGGCGCACATGTACATATGCTGATTGATATACAATTTTGTGTGTCTAACGGGGTATTAACGATAAGTACAGTCTAACGGGGTTTAACAATAAATACAGAGTGGACCTATGGCAGACCAATTGACACCAACCAATCCAAGCACCACGTGTCGTACAGTGAGTACAGTACAGATACAGCATAACCACAGAAGGCATTCCACCCGAACCAAGCTTATATCTGTGACATGCGGCCACGGTCAATGAGATGCATGAACATACCATGCTTTCTAGTATACTAGCACCAGTTTACACAGATTCGTCATAGCCATACAACCATGTTATCTACTAAAAAATGCACTGCAAAAAACAACTCTTTCCGGTCTATATGGTGATAGCAGGCGAATGTATGCAAGTATAGCTATAGTAAGGTGAAACAATCTAAGCTTTACCCTATGCTTTAATGCGACCGTGTTAATTTTTGTAAAATGCATTCACTGCAAAGAGCATCTCCTTCCGGTATATAGCAGGCAAATGTATGTAAGTATAGCTAGATTGTGGTAAAACAGTATAAGCTTTAATACGACCATGAACATTTCGTTCCGGCCTATAGCAGACTGATGAACGCAAAGTATAGTGCGATAGAACATTTTAAATCTTTCACTGCATTACTTCTCAGCTATCGTCAGAAGGTAAACGATCTCTGTACTACACTCGAGCGTCTATATATGAATGCTGGAGTCACCTGCAACAAAAGTACAGCTAAATCTTGGTTTATAATCCAGCGATCGTGTGCGCTTACGCCAGAAAGCCTTACCAGCGTTGCAGTTTCCATGTCCGCAACCGTTGAGCACATCTCGGCAAAGCAGTTAGAACCGTACTGAAAAGAAATTTGCTTTAATCATATGCATACTTTGTGATTTTAAAGTTATCATGCACAAAAGACAACGCAGTATTTTTTTTTAAATAGAACCGGTACAGTATAGACAGTAACCTTATTAAAAACCTTCTGCTATTCGTGATGCAAATATGACATATGTGAGAAAGTATGTACTTGATAAAAACAAATTTAAAGTAAAAATAAATAGGGGATAAAAATAATGCTATTTAGAAAGTATTTAAAAATTGTATTATTTAGACGGCTATGATTTTAAATACGAATATATTTTTTTAAAAGGTAATATATACATATGTAAATGCATATCATCATATAGTTTTTATCTTTAAAACACAAAAAAAAACAATTAAAATCAAAAAGGGTGTTTAAACAAAAATAAAGATAAAAATAAAACAAAGAAGGCATTTATGCTATAAAAAAAAACATTTAAAATGATACGAACCCTCTACTCTAGAGTCATCACTATTGACTATAAGTATACGAACACGCGTTGGGTATTAAATAATCATTTTGTGGAAACAAACTTTTGAATATCATATCGGTTTTAACCATTTGAATAATTATTTTAAGACAAATATTATGAGTATATCTACATTCTAAGTGATTTTTGAAAAACAGAAAATAAGATTATTTCATATTAAAAACACCCAATTGTTTTTAATTCTTTTATTTCTGCTGCGTTCTTTAAGCTACTAGTGGTACAGAGGGTTCTGATATTTTTTTGTTATATCAAGAAGCAAACAAGTTTGGATTTTACTTGTATTTTTCAATTTTGCTTTCATCTTTATTAAAATTAACAACAAAACAATAGATAATCGAACAGCATTTTCTAACTTTTGACAGATAGAATATTTTTTTTAATTTACTATGGAAGTACAAATATACGCACTAGCTCAATTTTTAACTGTAGGTTTAAAAGGTTTTGATAGCTTTTGTAAGGTTAAAAAAAGAAAATCCTAGCGTTGGATGTTTGTTTGTTTTTAATCTTTCGATATTATAGTATTATGGTTTTTTTAACTTTCGATCGAATTTTAAAATGACTATTTATTTACATAAAGTCGTAAATATGTTTCGTCTGGAGCACTCTTCAGCGCACGATACTTTGATGTGTGAAGTGACTAAAAGTCTCGCGCCGTACAAGCGATTGTGCCATTACGCTTAGAGCTAAGCATAAAGGACAAACATGATTGCACTTTACTTTTGATGTATTGAACATGATCATGACCCTCCAGTAGAGAAAGGTAAAATATATGGGAGAACGGACAAGTCCGTAGGAAAACAAGATAACCTGTGTTGTTGATGCTTGTAAATCGGGCGAAAATAAGAATCACACGTATACGTTTTAAGTTTCCGGCTCCCGATAATATCGAGGGCTCCTTGTTCAACCAGTGGATGAAGGCGTATCCCGTGCTTGCCTTTGGCCGAAAGACTATTTCAGGATACCCTCGGCCGGGGTATAGGGATTGTGGAACATCTATCATTAGGAGTCAGAGTCGGTTCTGTTGACTGTGTCAGCGACGGTGTTGTTTTAAAAGTATGTTTGCGTGTTATTTATTGTGGTTTGTTGTTACTGTGGACCTACCTAATAGACCCAGTGAGACCGGCCACAGGCCACACCTAGAAGTAGAAAACTGGGTATCCCTTTCGCCAATCAAGGCCACTCCAATCATCGGTTGTCTTGTGGAACTTTGGAAGTTGGAATATCTGAGTCATAAATTCTAAAAATAAATCAAGCCAATAAAATTACGTTCACAATAAAAAACTAAAATCAATCAAATCGGAAGCACACTGCAACAACAGAGACTTTAGACAGAGGGCTCGAGGCCGGGGGTGACTGCCAAAATATTTTTTAAAAGTACTACAGTACCGAGTACACTACTTTTTGTTTTTGTTAAAAAAACAAAATGCTATTATATAAAATTGGAGGGGGGTTTTTTCTAACTTGATAAAAGGAATTGTGTCAAACGCACAATTGTCAATTGAGATTTGAGTGGCATCCAATATGCAGCACTCCAGCGGACTATGTAGGTCACCAGGGCCCAGGCCCAGCAGTCGCAAGTGAGTGAGTTCATCTGCTTCAGCAGCCGCTGCCCCTGGGGTGACGGCTTCGTATTTTTAGCGTTAAAGTTTTTGTTGATGTTTTTTTAAATTTTACCAAAACATTGTGCCCCAAAGAGCGCATATATCTCATGGCATGATGGTATTTGAAGGGGATATAGAATTTTAGAGGGGGTATTTATATCATTTGCGTATCGTGCGATACAACGTTGGTCAGCGTATGGCCGTATGCCAGTGTCCAGTGAGTCTGTATCTCTGAGACTCTGTGACACTGTGACTGTCCACACAGCGGTCACGCTGCGCAATTGAAAAGTGAAAACACATCAAAAAGAGGAAGTCAGTTGACAGGTCCGAATTTTGTACATACACTTACTCAAACCGAATTACGGACCATAATGAAATTGGATATATTTAAAAAATATATATTGAAAATTAATATATTACGGATGGCCTTGTCCACTTCTTGTGTGAAGAAAGGTCGCGAGAGCTGACCAAGAATTGTATATTTGGACCATCTGTCCGAACCTAAACCACAAAGTACAAGCCTGTGGCCACAGTGGAAGGGTGGACTGAGTGGTCGAGACCAAACTCCAAAGGCCAAAGTTTCAAACTCCAAGCTTTCCAAAGATAGCCACAAGACACGTCGCAAGCTCATAGTACTCTTCTACTCTGATAATTTTACTCACTCTATCATTTTGATCATGAAGAGTTCCAGACCGAAGACTGAAGAGTGAAGACTCTTTTAGAAGACAGAAGACTGAAGTCAGTACAAAAGTCACTCCAACATTTTCTAGAAATAAATGTAACAGCTTTTAAACCAATGAAAAGAGTAAGAATATCAAAATTGTAAAAAATAAAATACGAAAGTAATATCAATTTTTCCCAACAAACAATTAAACGCTGATAAATATCAAAATATAAATATTTCACTCAACTAATTTGAAGAAAAAAAGGATTTTTAAAAATCAAAAGAGACAAAACCCAGAAAAAAAACCCCCATATAATATTTTGCCTTTTTAAAAAACTCTTTTCTCGCTTTTTAAAAACAGAATTAGAGAGTAAATTTCTATATAAAAACAATTGTTGTATACTTTTTTTCAAAAAGAATATTATTTTTTTCGAGTCCATGATTCTCACTTGAGTGATGAGGAAGTATGTATAGAGACTTATAACGAGTTTGTATTCATATGTACTAAATAAAATAAAATAGTGTACTGACTACTCTAGCTACTAGTGACATCGGTGTAAGGTGTGCTGTGTATTTCCCCATTGCTGGCTCAGTGCTGTATAGCAAATGCTCAGTGCTGTACAGCAAATATAAAAACGGGTACTTACCAATACCAAGGTGTTCAGTATATTTTTAAATACTAATATAGGTGGTGTTGAGTTGTACTGCGCGACTCTATTTAGAACGACATATATATATATATATATATATATACGGATACCCAACGGCCTCTTGATTGGATGCTGAAATCACATCTGTGCGCATCATAAACAAATAACCTCTTTGTCAATATTAGATATACGCATGTCGCTTCTCGTAACCTCAACAAGCGACCCCCAGAAGTGTGTTCCCTCCTCCGCTCCACCTAACATTCCTATCGCACAAATGCCCTTCCACTCGACAACCAAAAACGTGCGTTCAAATTTAAAGAAAATCCAAAGGCTACCACACCAGGCTTTTGTCCAGTCACCATCTTCAATTGGTCGAAGGCATCTACGCAGTGGAGTAAGTACAATGTCCTCTAGTAGTAGCAAAGACGGCGACACGCTTCCAAGTAGCGATTCGGATGTGGGAACAAACTCAGAATCGTATAAGAGACCACAAGACTCACTTCGAACACCCTGCGACATGTTCAAGCACTTGAAATTCACAAACAGTGCGATGAAAGCCTTGCCGTTCGAAAGTAGAGCACCAGGAACCGTTGGTAGTAGAGAAACGCCCGGGGCTGTGTGGGCTAGTGTCGAACCGACGCCTGTGACAAATCCTCAAACTGTTTCACACTGTATGGCTGCACTCAAGGTACGAACACGATAACTGACAATACCTTCTTACTTGTTGTTCTTTTGGAAGTTTTCTATTTGTATATTTTAAGTTACATGTACGTATTTGCAAGTCAGTATCCATATATACGCACACACATACACATATATATATATATATATATATATGTATATTTATTTATATATCCAATATATATATACATATATATATATATATATATATATCATTGCGAGTGTGTTTATGCATGTATGTATGTTTATTTATATCCATGTATAAATAGATATATGTATATATATGTGTATGTGAGTGTGTCTGTATGTATG